AGGATGAGCTGTGACTACACTGGAAGATCTGTTGCACAGGAGACACCCTTATGGGACAGGACTTGCCGCAGTAGGGCTTTGGTGCTAACTGAGTCTGCCCCTTGAGTGCATCTCTTATGATGTGAAGAGTTGTAATCTGGTATGGTCTCACTCTGACCACTGGATACATTGGCTCTTGGATCTCTAAGGAGGTGCAAGGTCAGCCACTGTCTGGGGCCAACCAGCAAGAGCTACAGAGACATCTGCAGATTCCTCCTCTTTGTATAGAGTTTGGAAGTGACCAGACAAGGCCCACTTGTGAAGCAAGGCAGGCTACTGCTGCTGGGCCTTGGGCCTTCTTTTGGAAGCTCTGGAGTTCTCTGACCCAGCTGCAGTTTGACAGATTTTAGGTGAAAGGACAAGCCATTCAAATGCAAAAGCCAATGGGCACAGCTTGGGTGGGGTTGTAAATTGGGCGGGGCAGGGTCTCTGGGAATCACCATGGCAGAGCAAACAGCAATGGCTGCCATTCAGCCCTGAACAGAAGAAGTCCCTGGTTCTCCACGTCCCATGCCCCCGTGCAGAAACAATGACGGCTGCGAGCACCTCTGAGAGAAAGCCACCCTCGCATCCCTGTACCGATGCCAGACAGTCCAGTTTCTCCCCGTGTGTGCCTGGGTCCCACAGAGTCTCACCCACAACTGGAGTTCAGAGCAAGCGGGAGCTAGTATCTCCCTCCCGGTTAAAAGAGCAGCATATCCAGATGCCAGCACTTTCTGTGCCTCCATTCCTCTTACCAGTCTAAATGTGCTTTCTTCACCTCTCTAGTTATGGAACTTCCACTCAACTAGCTTTCCCACGGTTCTGGGTGGTAGTTGTTCTGCCATTTAGTTGTGGTTTTGATGTGGTTGTGAGAAGCAGCAAGTATAGGTGATTACCTATGCCGCCATCTTGGATATCTCCTTGAACTGCTGACCTCTTGTTTCCTGAGTCAACACTCAACCACTGTGCTACACCAGCAGGGCTAAAGTGGAAATTTTAATAGTACCTCTCCCATAAAAGACTCCAATAAGATAATATATATGCAAACCTACTGCCAAAATGCATGGTTCATATAGCAGGCAATCAATAAAAAATAGTAGGTAGCCCTGGCTGGTATTTAGTGGTTAGAGCAGCAGCCCATGAACTGAAGGGTTGTGGTTCGATTCCCATCAAGGTGTTACAGGATTCCAGGGCAGGAGGAATAGGGAAACTGAGACAGGAAAGTTAAAACAAGGCCAAACAGTGTGGGCAATTTGCAGCCAGCTTGTAATTAACAAGCCATAATCTTCCCCAGCCAAGGACACAGAGCAAATGGCTAAAAAAAAAAAAAAAAAAAAAACCCTCCCTAATGAGAAGATGCAGAAAGGGAGGGGGAAAGAGAAAAGGAAAAAAGGGCAGTTTTACTCCCTAAGCAGAGAATCCAGCAGTCTCAAGGCTTGGCAAGATAAAGTTGCCAGGTGCTGCTCATGAATTCTGGGAAGGCCACAACAAAGTGAAAAGGGGGATCTTGAGAATTACATAATCTGCACCAAAATAGTCAGCAGAGGAATTTTGAGACCTACAGACAGGGCCCATGTAGAGTCAACCACTCAATGTGTCTCTTTCACATCAATGCTTCTTGCTCTTTCTCTCTCTCTCTCATTCTCTCTCTCTCTCTTTCCCCTTTTTCCCTCTTTCCACTCTCTCTAAAAATCAATGGAAAAATATTCTCAGGTCAGGATTAACAACAACTGCAAAAAAAATGCAGGTATTATTGTTATGATTGCAAATGCAGTTAACAGGGCACTTCTAGGTGCAATCTACTAGAATAAAATGGTCAGCTTTCTTAAATATAAGGAAGAAATTCCACTATTACCTTTGAAATACATGTATTAGCTTAATGACTTCTTTTCCTATATTCTTTAAGTTTGTAAGGAGAAATGGGAAATGCATGACAGAATTGTCCTCTGTATAAGTTTTGGCCTACCAGCTC